CAGAGGGGCAGGATCCCCTCCCTCGACCTGCTGGCAACGCTCCTCCTGATGCGGCCAGGATCCCATTGGCCTTCTTGGCCACAAGGGCACATCAATGCCTCATGGTTAACTTGTTGTCAACCAAGAGTGCATGAAGTACATGGGAGTGCTCTTTCTGCTCATTTTGAGAGAGCAAGGAGTCCAGGCTTCCAGCAGCGTGCTGAACAATAGCACATCACTGATGACACTTTGAATATACCTCCTTTTCCACAGGTCAAAAAACAAAACAAACAAAAAATCTGGACAAAAAGAAAACGTCTACAAAAGTCCATCAGAGGCACCCAATACGAAGGAATGAAGGAACCAGCTCTTTGCTTCTCTCCCTCTTTTTTTCCAAGTCATGCCTCATAACCCTTCCCCAGCCACACAAGCCTGTGTTTAAACAAAGCTGGAGATAACACCACCTTTCTTCTTAGAGAGGCTAAGCCTCTCAGGATGTTCACCCCAGCACACATCAGCTTAGGTAACCTGTGGTGTTTGCAGCGTGGATACAATTTTTTTGATCATGGGGGTGACCTCAGGGAAGTAAGGAGTCTCTAGCTTCAGCAAAACGCTTTTGGTTAATGTTTGTATGTGGTATAAACCTTAGGAAACCAGATCACGCCTGAGGCTGATGAACCCCAACAGTCTTTGGAAGTTTCACTGGCCAATGCTGCGCCTCTCCTCACTGTCCCCCGACAGACCCCTGGGAACAGGCAGAGACATTTTGGCTCTAAAGCCCACAAATCTCCGCTCGCATCGAGTGCATTTACACCCCGTTGACCAGAATGGTCCTCAGCCGCTGATTAAAGTAAACCCCTGGGGTAGCAGCCACAGAGCAGACTGTGAGAACACGCTGGCTGCTGCCACCAACGAATACTCTCTGGCCTAAAATTCCAGTACTGCAGAATCCAAACTGTTCTTACGGATGATTTCTGTGAAACCATGTCTATGGGTTTGTTGCAGAACTCCCCACATAGCAGTGGCACAAGCACTTGCTGAGCTCTTGGGACGTTCTGACGGAAGCTGTTGCTCACCATAAATGTGAATGCGGGTGCTGCAGCACACACACATATGCAGCACCTGAAGCTGGAGAATTTTCCTTTCGTGTTATATCAGAGATACTGGACCCCATAAGTATGGGGCAGAAGGCCTGTGTTTGAGCAGTTGACAACAACTGAAATCTCTCAGCAGTGCTCCAAACCCCCAGAGGTGACAAGAAGTTTGGCCCTAGAAGCCTTCAAATCAAAAACCTTGGGGAACTGCCTATTCCCACCAGCGTAAGAATCATCTGGACCTTAAATTAAAGGCTGCCTCATCTTTAGAAGGGCAGTGGTCAGGAGGAAAACAAGCATGTTTTTCCCCTCTTGACTGGAGGAGGAACACTGAAATCTCCAGGACAGGCTGGGGATTTACAGCAGTTCCTTGGCGGCAGCTCCAGCTGTCTGGAAGGAGCCCTGCAGCTCTTGCACTGAAGTACATGAATAAAAGACATCATTTCTGAGGGGTACGTCACCTTCATCATAAAATAAACAGCTTGGGGCCCTTCAGATCCCATGTTCAGAGCCATCACTTGCAGCTTCTGTGCAGTAGAATCATAACAACCACCACGGTAAGTAACAGAATGTTATGCCTCTTTTTGAAAACATACCTGTTTGATGGTGACATACCCCTTGTTACAATCCGCTTTTAACTGCACTGGAGAGGGGAAAAAAAAAAGAAAGAAATCAAGCAATGTAAATACAAAGGACCAAAAGACAGAACACCCTACTGCATTTTAAGCATGTGCGACTTTCTGAGAAAGATTTCCTTGAATATTTTTCAGAAGGCTTTTGCCATGTCGTCACAGTGTTTCCAGGACTGCTGGTAAGATGGGACCAACCTGTGTGACAGAGTCATAGCTGCACATTTGATATTATGGATCAGCAAAAAACCTACACTGGGATAAGGGCAAATTCTACTGAAATAATCTACAAACTCCTAGTATTCTCATCAGTGCTCTGTCACCACATGTCATGGGAAAGGGCTATTTCTAGAAAGGCAAAAACTTAAAGTGGGGAAGATGCAAAGGGAAGTATCTTACAGATTAGAGCTCAATTTCTCCCAGTGTATCTACAAAATACCAAGTCATACTGCAAGTTGGTTGGGGGAACACAGGGAATGTGACCACTGATTTCCAGGAAGCGAGGACAAGACTGCTTCCTTGGGAAGCAGAAAGGGTCTTGGAGGACACAGGAACTGTTGTGCTTTGTAGATATTTTTTCTAAGTGCTTGCCAAGAACCCAGTGGCTCCAGGAAGGTGCTGGGAGAGGAGAGGCCAGACCCCCAGAACAAGCCACAGGGCCCTCGGGATCGGGTCACCATCTCCACCTCAGCGCTGCACAGAGCAGGCCTAGAAGTGAGGCCAAAACGACATTCCCCGGCCCTCGGCGCCGCTCGGCCAGGCGCCAGCTCACGGCTCACG